CTAGTGCATCCATTGCATGGCAATACCTACTCACTCACATCAAAAATTCTGTTTTTATCATTTACCTACTCGAGGACGAGCAGGAATTAAGCTTGGGGATGCTTGATACGTCTCCAACGTATCTATAATCTTTTATTGTTCCATGCTATTATATTATCCCTTTTGTATGTTTAATGGGCTTTAATATACCTTTTTATATTATTTTTGGGACTAACCTTCTAACCAAAGACCCAATGCAAATTGCTGTTTTTTGCCTATTTCAGTGTTTCGTAGAAAAGGAATATCAAACGGATCCAAACGGAATGAAACCTTAGGGAGAGTTATTTTTGGAACAAACGCAATCCAGAAGACTTGGAGTGGACGTCAAGGAAGAAACGAGGCGTCCACGAGGTATGAGGGCGCGCCCAGGGGGGTAGGCACGCCCCCCACCCTCATGGGCCCCTCGTGGCTCCGCCGACCTACTTCTTTCGCCTATATATACTCATATACCCCGAAAACATCCGAGAGCACCATGAAACCCTATTTCCACCGCCGCGACCTTCTGTACCAGTGAGATCCCATCTTGGGGCCTTTTTCGGAGCTCCGCCATAGGGGGAATCGATCACGGAGGGCTTCTACATCAACACCATAGCCTCTCCAATGATGTGTGAGTAGTTTACCACAGACCTTCGGGTCCATAGTTATTAGCTAGATGGCTTCTTCTCTCTCTTTGGATCTTAATACAAAGTTCTCCTCGATTCTCTTAGAGATCTATTCGATGTAATTCTTTTTGCGGTGTGTTTGTCGAGATCCGATGAATTGTAGGTTTATGATCAAGATTATCTATGAACATTATTTGATTCATCTCTGAATTCTTTTATGCATGATTTAATATCTTTACAAGTCTCTTCGAATTATCAGTTTGGTTTGGCCTATTAGATTGATCTTCCTTGCAATGGGAAAAGTGCTTAGCTTTGGGTTCAATCTTGCGGTGTCCTTTTCCAGTGACAGCAGGGGCAGCAAGACACGTATTGTATTGTTGCCATCGAGGATAAAAAGATGGGTTTATATCATATTACTTGAGTTTATCCCTCTACATCATGTCATCTTGCCTAATGCGTTACTCTGTTCTTATGAACTTAATACTCTAGATGCATGCTGGATAGCGGCCGATGTGTGGAGTAATAGTAGTAGATGCAGAATCGTTTCGGTCTACTTGTCGCGGACGTGATGCCTATATACATGATCATGCCTAGATATTCTCATAACTATGCGCTTTTCTATCAATTGCTCGACAGTAATTTATTCACCCACCGTAGAATTTGCTATGCGTTGCAACACTGGCGCCGCCGCCGTCCGCTGCATCGCAGCTCCGAGAACTGCGGCGAGAGCTCCATTGGAGCACCGGGAGTCGCTGGCCGCTGCATCACAACTCTGATGAGCCGCCGGTGAGAGCTCCAATGGAGCTCTGGGAGCGGCTGGCGAGAGCTCCATTGGAGCACCGGTGCTGCACTGCGGCTTCGACCCCACCGACGAGGGCTGCAACGGAGCACCGGGAGCGGCCGGCAAGAACTCCATTGGAGCACCGAGCTGCTGCACTGCAGCTTCGACCCCGCCGACGAGCGCTGCAACAGAGCATCGGGAGCTGCCGGCGAGAGCTCCATTGCAGCAGCGCACCCGGCAAGCCCCACGGGGGTCGCATCACCGCTTGTGCTGCACTTAGAGCGTCGGCGAGCTCAGGCACCGAGCGCTGCACTGCAGCTCGACAACCCGTCGGTGAGCGCCGCAACGTAGAACCAGGAGCCGCCGCGCGAGACCTCCATTGTAGCACCACTCCGGCGAGCTCCACGGCGCCGCTTGTGCCACACAACACCTCCGCCGCCGTTGAGAGATCCACGGGGACGCAACTCCCTCCGACGATGAGCGACACCCGCCTCCGGCCTCCCCGTGTTGCACTACAGCACCGGCGAAGAGCGGCGCCAGCCTCCGACCTCCTCCTTCATGCTCCAGCACCAACCTCAGGCCCTTTTCTCGCTTGTGACGACACAAGAAGGGGAAAAAGAAGAAGCGAGTGGGGGAGAACGTGTGGAGCCGAAGAGATAAGGCTCGAGGGTGGTTGCGAGCGGTGTGTTGGGCGGGACACGTGTCGTTCGCTCCAGGCGGTTTGCACGAGAGAAACGTAAGTCGGATTATTTTGAATGTTTTCCATAAATCATTGATATTATCCGTCAAAAAAATCATTGCTATTATTTTCCCGACATAAAATAAAGAAAATCTCTTTAAATTGCCCGACTGATTTCTGGGAACAAATCAGCCGCTCCCCACGATCGCCACGCGTCTCGGTATGGACCCAGGCACCGCTTTCTCTCGTGCCTTATCTCATGCCGCGAATCACACCCACATGTTCTCCCTCCCTGTGTTTGACCACTTCGTACTCTTCTATCCTCCACTCCGGCAACTCCCTTGAAGCCCCTTCCACAGCGCCGCCGCCTAAATCTGCGACGGGGGCCTGCTGAGAACGCCCCTCTCTCTCTCATCGGATCCTCCACCACCGCAGCAGGCGGCCATGCCGCCACCACCAACCAGCACCACACTCACCTCCTCTCCCATCTATAAAAATTCGCTGCCACCTCCCAAATCAGAGCCCCTTGCTGCAAATCGGGGCACCCAAGTGAGAAATCTGTCGCGGGGCGCCGCAACTGCAGAGGGAGACGAGGGGATGTGCTGCAAGCCCGCGTCACCCGCTTGCGCGGCGGCACTGCATGGTTTTCTGTTGCCATGAAGGGGCATCGGCCCATGCTGCAGGCCAGCCGTGGACGCTACTACCCGGTGTAACAAGAGACCACGCCGCTGCATTGAGGTCAAATGAAAGTGCTGCAATGGGGGCCGCCGGAGCTAGGATGGAGCATCGCCGAGGCCCTGTGGTGCACTCATGGAGCTGTAATGGAGCATCGCCGGGGCCGTGTGGTGCACTCATGGAGCTGTAATGGAGCATCGCCGGGGCGCCGGGGCTACAATGGAGCATCACTGGCGCAGCCGGAGGTGCAATGGAGCATCGCCGTAGCCGCCGGAGCTGCAACGGAGCATCGCCGGGGCTGCGCGGTGCACCGATGAAGCTGTAATGGAGCATCACCGGGCAGTCGGAGGTGCAATGGAGCATCGCCGGAGCCACCGGAGTTGCAATGGAGCATCGGGGCCGTGCGGTACAGCGATGAAGTCGCAATGGAACGTCATGGGGCGTCGGAGCTGCAATAGAGCGTCACCGAGGCCGCTGATGCTGTGATGGAGCATCACCTGGACTCCGGTGCTACAAATGGCGGGCAGCTCCGAGTCACACCCGGCGCTCTGGCGAACATGGCAGCATGGCATGCAGTGCCGGCCAGGGGCAGTCGCCGATGGCTGGTGGGACTGTTGTGAGCACGAAGGATAAGTGGATAACGCAGTACTGCAGAGTCATGGGTTGTGCTGGAGCGTGCGTTCTGTGAGCAACGATCCGACGGTTGGGGTCCTTTGCATCAGACGGCTGGCTAGGTGGATGATTTCTCTAAAATAAAGGGTCATTATTTCCACAACAGAAAAATCAATCGTTGGGTCACGCACGCCACACACACACCCTCGGCAAAGCAAAGCTAGCCGTTGCGCCTTGCGGCTCGCGCGGAGACGAGCCGGTCCAGTGCAGTCCACCACAGGCTCGAGTCAAAGTCCAACTCCGACCTTGCCAGCCCGGTCACCCGAGCCCGACACCTGTCAAACCAACCAGTGTGTGCGAGCCGGCGAAGAGAGCGTTTCTCATCAAAACCCGAGCGCAGGGACCCGCACCAGTCCGGCATTCCCTCCCCATCCCCACATTACCCCGGCGCGCCACCGAGCCCGACCTCGCCGGCGTCCCCGCCGCCTCCGCCGTCGGCCGCCGTCCGCCAGGTGAGCACGCTCCAGCCGTCCCCGGGCCCCCTCCCCCGCTTCGTTTTGCACCGTCGTGTCGTAACGGTTTGCGATTCGGGTTTTAATTTTTCGCCACTTGTGCGCGGCTGGGGTATTTGAAGGCGCGTCGATCGACCGGCGGGACTGACCGCCGCGACGAGATGTTCCACGCCGCGCGGCCGCCGAAGCCGACGGCAGTGTCCGCGGAGCGCTGCTTTCCACAGCTCTGCGGTGGATGCATGGCCGCGCTTCCTTGACCTTCGCCGCATCCACTTCCTCCTCCTTATCCTCTCGCCGCGGGCGGGGGCGACGTGCGGGTGCGCAGCGAGGTGGAGGTGGCCCGTGGGCGACGCCAAGGGGGCGGTGACGGAGCGGAGCACGAGGAGGTGGCGGTGACGGTTGGGGTTGCGGTTGCGGCGGGAGGGGATGACGTCACGGTATCCGGCGATTTTGTCGGGGACAGTGCGGCGGGGGTTTCTGGCCTGGTGGCTCTGGAGGAGAGGGGATGTGGAGGCGGCGAACTACAGAGGAAGAGGGGTTTGGAGTTCCCCACGCATCCGCCGCCCAAGCGGAGGGCCGTGTCCGCCGTGCGACACTTTCCACCTGGCTGCGGGAGGGACGCGCCGCCTCTGATCGTGGGCGGCGACGACGACGGTTTGCCGGTTGTAACTGCACCTTCCAGTGGTGCTCGTCCCGCGGGCAGCAGTGCCAGAGAGGAGTGTGGCTTGCCGCTGCAAATTGCGCCTGGCAATGCTGGTGTGCGTGTGCTGGAGAAGGTGACTGCTTCTGATGGTGGCGCTCCAGTGTCAGATGGGGATCATCGGGGTCCAGAGGCTGCGGCGGTGAAATCTTCGGATGGCACAGAAAGAGGTGCTGATTTCGTGGTGAAAGACAGGGGAAGGACACGGCCAATCTCGCGATTGCTAGCCAAGCGGAGGGTGATATCTGCCAACCGCCGCTTCCCTCCAGGCTGCGGGAGGGACGCGGTGGTTTCACTTGCAAGCAGAGGAGGTGGTGAGTCTAGTTTGCACTTCGAAGCCCTGCCTCCTGCTGGTGATTTGGGTGCATTGGAGGACGGCCGGCGTTCCAATGTGTGTGCCATGGACACTATAGAAGCGGTCAGCGAGAATGCTTTGGATGCAATAGTAGACGTACAGGATCTGGAGGAGGGTGAGATTCCTCCGGAGCCTGATCATGTCCTCCAAGAGTTTCCAGTTACTCACAGCAATATCATGCATGAGCTTACGGCTGATGGACTTGATGAAAAGATCTCAGTGAACATGCTGCAGCGCAAGGGGGAGAGTGTATCATGGGAAGTTGTTGAAGATCTCAAGGTGATGAACAAATGCGAAGGCAGTTCACCCAAGGCTGCTAGTAAACCTTCTGCTGAAGGTCCTCTGAAAGAACATCTTGGGGATACTACAGAAGCGGTCAGCAAGAATGCTTTGGATGTGATAGTAGAGGTACAGGAATTGGAGGAAGGTGAGATTCGTACGGAGCCTGACCATGTCCTCCAAGAGAACCCAGTTACTCACAACAATAGCCTGCATGAGCTTACAGCTGGTACCCTTGAGTGTGTTGTGCCGTCAATGGTAGATGCGGAACCTTCTGTGAGGCATTTTTCTAATGAGAAGATCCCTGTGAACATGCTGGAGCACAAGGGAGAGAGTGTATCATGGGAAGTTGCTGAAGATCTCAAGGTGATGAACAAATGCGAAGGCAATTCACCCAAGGGTGCATGTAAACCTCCTCCTGAAGATCCTCTGAAAGAATATCTTGGGGATAAGAAAGTGTCTGAAAGTTGTAGCATGAAAAGTGCACCTCTTGATGTGGAAGCAGGGGTACATGGCGACGGTATCATGAGACGTATGGTAACATTCACAGCTAGAAAACCTTCTCCTGAACAAGGCAATCCATCCAAGGGTGCTAGTAAACCTTCTCCTGAAGATCCTCTGAAAGAATATCTTGGGGATAAGGAAGTGTCTGAAAGTTATAGCATGAAAAGGGCATCTCTTGATGTGGCAGCAGGGGTACATGGCGACGGTATCATGAGACGTATGGTATCATTCACAGCTAGAAAAACATTTCGGTTACCTGTTGAAGCAAATCATAAGTCCGCGCTGGTTAATCTGGATAGACCGTGTTCTATGGGCAAGGAGAAGGAGTCCGTTGTCACTATGAGCGAATCCTTTGCTCCCAGGAAGAAGTTAAAGATAAAAGGTCCAGCTCAAAGTAAATATCTTCCCATGAATACCATTTCTAGCAAGGAAAAATTGAAGCATGAAGAGGCTTCCCACTTGGAAGATGATGAAGTTTTGAATGCAATAGCTGTTCATGAAGGAAAGTTTGAGATGTACCTCAATGATCCCTCATGGCGTCACATGCAACATGGTGGTCAGACCGCTGATGCTCGGAGCAAAGTCAGGATGATTTGCAGAAGGTTTCAGTTTATATGCAGGACTCTCGTTCAAGCTGTGGAACAAGGTTCGCTGAAGAGCCGTAGAATTGATCTTGCCGCTGATAAGCTAATCAGAAAATTACCGGGCTTTACCAAGCAGGGGCCTATTGTAGGTAAAGTTCCTGGTGTTGAAATTGGTGATGAATGTTTATACAGAGTAGAGTTGGCCATTGTTGGTCTTCACCGCCCATACCAAGGAGGCATTGACACCACAAAGGATATTAATGATATGCCTATTGCCATAAGCATTGTTGCGTCTGGAGATTACCCTGACGACTTGTCGAGCTCAGGTGAAATAATATACACTGGCTCTGGAGGAAAGCCTGCTGGCAAAAAGGAGAATGAGGATCAAAAGCTTGTGCGCGGGAACCTTGCCCTGAAGAATTGTATCAAAACAAAGACGCCTGTCCGAGTAATTCATGGTTTTAAAGGTCCAAATAGAGAGGAAGGTAGTCATTCAAAGGCCAAAGAAGTCTCAATATTTACTTACGATGGGCTCTATCATGTGGTGCAGTGCTGGCAAGAAGGTCTACCAGGTTCAAGGGTCTTCAAATACAGGTTGCAGAGGATTTCTGGACAACCAGAGTTACCTCTGCATGTTGCTAAAGTGTTGAGAAAGTCTGCAGCGCGTCCTGGCCTATGCATAGCAGATATATCGCAAGGGAAGGAGAAGATCCCCATCTGTGTGGTCAATAATATTGATGCTGCACATCCAGCATCATTTAAATACATTACTAGAATCAAAGGTTCATCCTTAGCTGCAAAAAGAAGTCATCAGGGTTGTGACTGCACCAATGGCTGCTCAGATTCTGCTAGCTGTGCTTGTGCTGTGAAGAATGGAGGAGAATTCCCATTTAACTTCAATGGTGCAGTTGTCCATGCAAAGCCCCTCATATATGAGTGTGGTCCATCCTGTAGGTGCCCTCCTTCATGCCATAGCAGGGTCAGCCAGCATGGTATGAAAATGCCACTGGAAGTATTCAGAACAACAAAGACAGGTTGGGGTGTAAGATCCCTAAGGTCCATCTCTGCTGGCAGCTTTATATGTGAGTATGTTGGCGAGCTGTTGCATAGCGACGAGGCTAACCAGAGAATGAATGACGAATACTTGTTCGACATAGGACATAACTATGATATCTGGAAAGGGATGCCATCAGTTGTTCCAGGTCTGAGTTCTTCTGCCCCTCGCTCTGTGATCATGGACGATGATAGGGCCTTCACAATAGACGCAGCTGAGTATGGTAATATTGGAAGATTCATCAACCATAGCTGTTCACCAAACCTCTACGCACAAAATATTCTTTGGGACCATGGCGACAAAAGAGTGCCGCATATCATGTTCTTTGCTGCTGAGAATATTTCACCTCTACAGGAGCTGACTTATGACTATAATTACGAAATAGATCATGTTCGTGACATGAATGGCGAAGTAAAAGTCAAATACTGCCATTGTGGTTCTCCACAGTGCCGCGACAGGCTTTATTAAGGCGTAGAAGGCTATTTTTTTCTTTTTACATCGGCATGGAAGGCTGTTTTTTTACAGGCATGGAAGGCTGTTAATACTAGGGTGGTTTCTTTCCAAGAAAATCCTTTGGAATGCTGTTGCCTCCTCTTTCAACCTTGCCATTGGCATCCTAGTAAATAATAGGAGTATGTAGATAGTGTGAAGTGTTCATATGGGCAAAGACTAAAGAGGTTGTGATTATGTTATTCTGTTGTCCGCCTACTACAGGACCTCATGATTCATACAATTTCATTGTGAATTGCCTGGAGAGGTTTCTGCAGTACAAGTACCGTGATTTCTACATTGCAGGATGGAACTATGGAGGTAATTGCGACCAAAATTGGTTTATGTGCCACGGTCATATTTTACTCCTCCGCTGCCATAACTACTTTGAGGAAGCCCATCCTGAACTTGAAAGGCTTATACAATGTATAAAAAATAGGTACCTGAGTTGTAATTGCTTTTACTATACTCCAAAAAACATCTTACATTATGGAATGAAGGGAGTATATGTTTCTAGGTATTCGGTTCATGTATGTATTTCTCTGCTATTTGCGTCTTACACAGACATGCTATCGGTGATATCGTACCAAATATTAGCCCAACATATCGACTATGACTAGAGACGCTGGAGGAAGACCTCATGCAAATTCTTATTAGCCTCCAGCAGTTTCTGCGCAGCCTGTATCACTTGCAACTTGAACTAGAATTCAAGTTCCGAAATCGTTGTGTCTTGTTGACTGTCGAAAATTAACTGATCCACAAGGTATTGTTCACTTGAATGAATAACTGATGTTGCATCTATCCCTAGTTCGACAACCACTTTACTTGACGCGAAGAGGTGAAAAAGAAAGGGTTGTAAAAATCGGGGTTTTTAAGTGTAGCACCGCTATCTGCGTCGACTTATTGTACAAATTGGATCGGAGTTTTTCAACATGGCACTTTTTGCCAAGTATGACGCTGCAAACTTCGTCTTTTGACGTTTCCATGTGTGGACTCGGGTGGATAGGCTGTTCAAGCAGAAGTCGTTGGGCTATCGATGCTCAATACTACGACAAGTCTTCCTTCATTTGGCTCGCATGCGAAAACCATATCTCAAAGTGTTTGCTTTTTAGACCAGTTGCCCATTTTCAAGACTTGCCTCCTCTCGGTCGCCTGCCACCGGAGGATTTTGTAGACCGGTGGTTGTGAACC